AGCATGAGAGTTGTCAAGTGAGCAATATTCCGTTCCCTCAGATTTCAGGGCCAAAATGTGAGACTAGGAAGTGGGACCTTTGTGATGTCAGGGTGGGAATGGGGGAATCTTCAGACCTGCTTCTAAGCCAGCTCATTGTGGAAAAGAGGATGAGGGGAATGCGGGTAAATGGGCCCAGAGTCTGGGTAACATTCACCTAACAGGTAATGTAGCACCTCCAAATGTGGGGGGACTTCTCCCCCTTATAATTAGGTGGGTGGCAAAATGCCCCTCAGCAACTGTAACACTTCCCACAAGGGCTTGTATGTCACACACCACAATTTACAACACGTGTGACATGTGGAGTGTTTTTCCAGGCACTACACTGTTGGTGGCACTTATGGAAGACTTCCTACCAGGGGCAGTTCTCCCCCACCCCAGGCCCTATATTTTTGCTTCCAGGGCTTGTGCAGCAGGAAGGCTAATGAGTCACAATGCTGGCACTCCACTCCCTGTCTTGCTTTGAATTATATGGTAGGCTCAAGTACAGGTACCCACTGGCTCTCTCCCCAGTCCTCCTGGCCCCCTCCTGACTTTTTGGTGTACATTGTGGAGCCGCAGGTCACATTAAGAGGAAAAAAGCCTCCACACATCTGCCGCTGGAAGATGGGTGCAAGTGGGTGTCTAGGCTTTTAAGCCATCATACAAGTCAAAACAAAACAAAACCTTCTCCTTCTCCAATACTCCTTACTCTGAGGTCTCTCTCCTGGGGATGCATAGCAATTTCCTGAGACCTCTCTAGCCAACATTACAGGGAAGTAGTGGCTGTTTTCTGTTCTCTAGGAAGTTTGGCTGTGGTGTAACTGAGCAGCTCCCTCACTATCTACCATCTACCCTGCTTTCTGGCAAGATCTGCTGCCAGATCTTAGCTGGTGGAGCAATTCTGCTGACAGATCACTCTGCCAGCTGATATCTGAGAACAGCTGCTGGTGCAAGCAAGTGCCAGTGTCTTATCTAAGCTCTTGTTCATTTTGTGAGTTCATTAGTTGGTTCTTCGGATTGGATAAAGCTTCAGCAAGCTTCTATTTAAGAATTTTACCTTCCCACACCCACCTTTTTGGGGTGACAATTATCTAAATCCCCAGCAATTTTGGGACAATATCAAAAGAAAGAACCACCTGCCTCTTAAAAATAGATGGAGCCCCAAGAAAGTCTAGCCCTTGGTCACATGGAGAACTGTGTTATTTCCAACTCATTTAATTAAGCTGTAGACTGGAGTTGGCATGACAAAACTGAACCTAAGAAAATGAGGGTTTGGTACTAACACAGTCCTTTGTGAGTGCAGAAGTGAACAGCAACTTTACACCCACATCAGTGTACTCAGTATGCCCTTCAACATACATTATGTCACAGAAGTGAGTACACACCCTCACATTTCATAAATATTTTAGTATAGCTTTTTGTGTGACAACACTGAAGAAATGACACTTGGCTGCAATGTAAAGCAGTGAGGATACAGCTGGTATAACAGTGTAAATGTGCTGTTCCTTCAAAATAACGCAACACACAGCCATTAATGTCTAAACTGCAGGTAACAAAAGTGAGTACACCCCTAAGTGACAATGTCCAAATTGGTCACAAAATGTCAATATTTTGTGTGGCCACCTTTCTTTTCCAGCACTGCCTTAACCCTCTTGGCCTTAGAAGCAGGTCACCAGAGCTTCAGAGTTTGCCACTGGAGTCCTCTTCCACTCCTCCACGACGACATCACAGAGCTGGTGGATGTTAGAGACCTTGCTCACCGCCACCTTCCATTTCAGGATGCTCAGTAGGGATTAGATTTGAAGACATGCTTGGCCATCACCTTTACCCTCAGATTCTTTAGCAAGGCAGTGGTCATTTTGGAAGTGCGTTTGGGGTCGTTATCATGTTGGAATACTGCCCTGCGGCCCAGTCTCCGAAGGGAGGGGATCGTGCTCTGCTTCAGTAGGTCACAGTATATGTTGGCATTCATGGTTCCCTCAATGAACTGTAGCTCTCCAGTGCCAGCAGCACTTGTGCAGCCCCAAATCATGACACTCCCACCACAATGCTTGACTGCAGGCATGACACACTTGTCTTTGTACTCCTCACCTGGGTGCCGCCACACATACTTGACACCATCTGAAACAAATAAGTTTATCTTGGTCTCATCAGACCACAGGACATGGTTCCAGAAATCCATGTCCTTAGTCTGCTTGTCTGCAGCAAAC